CTCTGGGCAGGGCGCTTCTCGGCTGAGCCGGGCCACTTCACTGGCCGTAGCTCGTGTTCCTCTGTGTGCAGCTCTCGGTGCAGAACCAGGATCTGATTGAGAAGAACCTGACGCTCCAGGAGCGCCTCCGGCAGGTGGAGCTGAGCCAGCCGCCGCGCGCTGGGACGGCCCATCTTGCCCACGAGCTACACGGGGAGCTGGCCGGCTGCCTGCAGGACTTGCAGTCTGTCTACAGCATCGTAACTCAGCGAGCGCAGGGCAAGGATCCCAACCTCTCCCTGCTCCTGGGCATTCACTGTAAGTGCGCGGGGCAAGAGTCACGGCATCGGGGGGGGCGGGGGGAGTGTCGTGTTCAGAGCCGTGTCTGATGTGCGCTCGTTCCCCATCCAGCTGTGCAGCTTTCCGCTACGGAGCCGGCCGACTCGCTGACCCCAGACGGGCTCGCGAGGAAACTGCTGGAGGTGAAGCAGCTTCGCCGAGAGGTTGAGGACTTGCGGACTGCGATATCCGACAGGTACGCGCAGGATATGGGGGACAACTGCATCGCACAGTGATGGAGCTGCGCTCCCCAGCCTGCGTCGGAACCGCTGGAAACGACCACCGACCCCCTGAAACTAGCGCCTCCGGCACGGGACAAGCTAACCTGCACCTTAGCACCGCCGGCGGGGCTCCGAGATGCAGGCTATCCGCCCCCGCAGGAAATCGGGGACCCCTGTGCCGTGACCAGTCAGGTGCTGATTGGCTAACTGGAACTATTCAGTCTTTGGTGTTCATCAGCTTTTGCCGCCTTCGGCAGGTGTCTGCTGGGTGAGTTACCAGTCACCTTCTGAGCACGGAAACCCCCGGGTTCCAGCTGGCCTGGGTGCCATGACCTCTGGCCTTTCTGGTAAGGCGCAATCCAGACCGGCTCCTGCCAACTACTCTGCCCTTCCTGCTCGCACAAGTTGTGTGTGTGGGCTCCTACGCGGTGCTACTGGCGTAGCGCTTGTCTGATTGCCCCCGACTCCGAGCATCCCAGGCTCATCCGCGACGCCTGCGTGTGTCCTGGCCTGGATGAATAGCGCGATCGCTCAGGTAGCCAGGTCTGCCTCGTGCAGGTGGAGCAGCTGAAGTCTCATTAGCCAGCAGCCCAGAAACCGATGGTGCTAACTGGGTTGTAAAAACCCTTCTGTTGGTGAGGCCTTAGGGTTTTATCCCCTTCCGGGTGATCTGATCGTGGGCTGCGGTTCAGACCCCGGAGCAGCACGGGGCTTGCTGCTGAAGTGCCTTGCTCCTCTAGAGAATTTCCTGCCAACCCGGTGGATGGGGGAGCTGGTCCTTTCTCTTCGCTCCCTTCCTGGCCAGGCACCAGCCCTGCAGCTGCCTTGGTCTGCAGTGCGGCCCCAGGGAGCAGCTGCTGCTCGGGCACAGGCCTGCGGGAGCCAGGAGTCAGTACAGGAGCAGCGAGGCTGCAGCAGGGGGCGCTAGGGCTGCACGTAATTACTCAGGATTCTCGATGCACTTTTACAGCTTCGCCGCTCCACTTCCGGAGCTGCCTAGAGCCCAGCTTGCTTGGGCCTGTGCGTGAGCCGCTGCCCTGGGAGCACAGCGAAGGCACATGCTCCCTCTGAGCTCAGTGCGCAATGGAAATGCTTTTCCACTTGGGTGTTTTCAGCTGGCTGGGAGAGCACATGGGGACCCCGCTGGCTGCCCGTTGACTCTGCTGCAGAGGCTCCTAGGTCCATGGGGCAGCAGGAAAACCCGCCTAACCGGCGGCGGTTTTG